CCAATTGTGACAAGGACACGTGTTAAGTTGGAACTTAGGTGTAAGAAATTTGTTAGTTGGACAGAGGGGTTGTTTCTATTTAAGACACCAGGAAGGATATACAAGGACATATTACGGTTGGTTCTACAATACTTCCCAAGTGATATTGCATGTATCATATAGATGTTGGTTTGAGGTAAAGAAAAAAATTGTATAAGAGAATTCTAAATTTCTCTCCCACCCCTCCTCTTAGTTTCTTCCCCATACTCACAGAAAATAAACAGAACTTTATAACTCTGAAGTTGTCTGGAGAGCAGATATTGTGCCTTAAAAAGCAAACACCATTCACTCTCAGAATTTCTTTTTGGTGCAATTGTCTGTGTGCGTTAACAGCTACATCAGGTTGTGTGGTGTTAGTGTCCAGTCTGCGCATATTCATTCCTGAAGTGGTGTTTATAGTCTCAAAAATAGGTGTATAGCACATGCAGCGCGGTTGAATTTGTGGCCTTATTGGGTGTTATCTGTTTCCTTAGTTGTGCATATACACAGTTAGGTGTGTGTACTTTGGTAAGTTGATAAATTAAGAGAACTTTCATCCCTGAGTAGTAGGTGATATAATTACTAATACACCCATGGTAGTGATCAAGTATTAGTTCTGAGAAGGTACCTCTGCATTTTAGAGTCTTTCTGCGCTCAGTAACTGTTAATTTAATTAAAACAGTGCTATCATAAAAACTGTAAATACCTTTTCAGTATTTATTTTCATTCACTACGTACTACAATCTCATGTTTTGTGTTGTACATTTCAAATGTGTGAACTCTGCATGCTGAATCCTACACTTGCAGCTCTCTAGCATCACTGTCAGTGTCTGAGGTATTTTCATGTTTCTTAACTCACTAGTGTCTACCTGTTATGTACAGAACAGAAGTTCTGATGGTTCCACAACCTGATTAACTCTGTTGAAGGGAGGTTGCTCCACATGTATTGGCAAATACAGGCTTAGTGGAAAATGCTTTCTGGCTTGTTAGCCAGGTTATCTTTAGGAAACACTTTCAGTAGTGGCTGAAATAATGGTTGAAGTATCCTGTGAAATCAGTATTTTAAAGGAGAAATATAATTAAATGCTGGGTGATTTATTGTGAAGGAAAGTATATCACTTAAGTTGCAAAGATTGTCCTAAAAACTTTACAAAAAAATAAAAGAGAGGAGGAGGGAGGAAGAAGGGGTAGAAGTTAATAGCATCATGGAAAGATAATGGTGTAACAAGCACTGTGATAGTGAGCAAGTTCTGGAACAAGTACTAGAGTTGGAAGTTGCTTACTGTCTACAAAGTTTGGCAATTTTATTTATTCTTTCCTTCTAATCCCCAGCTTTCTGTAATCAAATTTCTATGGTTTTGTAGGTGCAGAAGTACGCTCCAGCTAGTGAGGAGCATCTGTCGCCAGAGCTACAGGAATGGGCACCATATTCACCAAAACGCTCTGCTAGGCACAGCGATGGCTTTGTGCCTGCTGCCTTATATGCTGGCAGCATGTCTGCAGGTGAGTGACACAGCTTGTAGCTACTTTCTAGGAATGCCCCAAGGAATTTGTCTGTATTGGGCAATATTGGGCATTAGTTGTGATAAGTGCAGAAACAACATGACTCACAAAACATATTTCCATGGTCTGTTGTAATATGAATATGGTCTGCTCAGCTTTGTGCTGTAAAGAAGAGAAACCTGTTTAAGAACCATTAAGGAAACTGAGAAATTCTTGCCTGAAGGATTTGAGTGTCATCAGTTTCTGTGCAGAGGAGTTTTGAATACATTAGTTGTGAACAAGGTGTAGCCTGTACTGCAGGGGGACAAGTAAAATTTCCAGTATTTTTGAAAGCAGTCAATGGAGACGTCCTAACAGAACAGGAACAAGAATCACTTTAGCTGCAGTTCAAGTACCAAATAAAAAGTGGTGTTCCTGTGAGACGACTATTCAGAGAAAGATGCAGAATTTTTATTGCTGTATAAAAAAGTTTGATTCTTGAAAACAAAGAAAGTCTTTTAGTTGCCAGTGCATATACAATGATATACTGTGAATGAGTTCATTTTTTGGTAATCTAATCCACTTTATTACTGACGCATTACAGAATTATAATCCAGATTTGAAATATGCACGTACTACTTAAAAGTTGTCACGTGGTGATTAATAATGCATTTGACAGCATGCTAATAATTTTTATTTATAGATACATGTTCATACATGCAAATGTTATAATGTATAATTATATGCTTATTTAAATATACTTAAAATATGTAGTTTATGTGCTAATAATATTGGCAAGAATGTGCTTTTATCATCTTCAGCAGGTACTGTACCAAGAAGCTTAGCACCGTGCCCTGCAGTGACTGCAGTCATGAGAAATCCCATCTATACTGCCTGGAGCCATAGAGTTCACACCAGCAATTGCCCATCGGTCGCCAGCCAGATATGCCATCAGCATCTGCATCCCAGGTGTTTTGAAATTTGTATTTCCTTAAATTTTTGTTTTCATTAGGATGAAATTGCTTGTGGTAGTTGTTTTGTACAATGCAGAGTGAAATGCACTGCTGTTGTGTTATTTTGACCCTGGGTTCTCAAAATCATTGTTGTATACAAGTGATGTGCCAGTTGCTTTCAAGTCTTTCAGTACCTGATGTATTGGGTTTCCATCTGTTCCACTGGCTGATACTGACAATGAAATCATTTTTTTTAATGAACTAATTTCTAATGTTTTTTTCTCATGCTTCCCAAAAAAATAAAGCCTTCCCCCCGTTTCTGTAGCACTTTAGGCTATTTTTTTCTTTGACTTCTCTTAATTTGTAAACTGATGGGTCAATTGGGAAGTGGGAGGGAGAGGAACATTCATTTGATTCAGTAACTCAGGGATAACCAAAATTTTTTATTGGCCTATTTGCTACTCCCAGTTCTCACTGTTGCCCTATTTTACTTTTCTTTTGATGTAGTTCTCAGCATCAAGGTCGCCTGAGTTTGGACCTGAGTCATAAACACTCCAGTGACTACACGGAAAATGCACGTACAAGAGCATCTCATGGCTCTAATTCATTACCATCCAGTGCAAGACTTGGTAAATTGTTTTCCTGATTTATTTCCTGTGGGACTCATATGTATTGGAGGCGAAGAAGAAATAGAAAGTTTCTTAAGTACATGCGTTATGGAATTAACACAGCTAGCAAAGCCAAAGGCTTCCTGTGTTCCTTTGCTTCATTTTTTGTGGTTTTATGACTAAAGGTGTTCCCTATAAGGAGCTGTGTTAAATTTGTTCTTCACAGTCTCTTGAAAATGTTGTGTGTGTGTGAGTGATTCTCCTTTCTGTGCCTGTTACTGTTTGAAAGTACCCATATGAAGATGGGAGGCCCAGCCAAAGTATTTGGAGAGAGCGTGCAGAACAAAAAATGGAGGATGGCTAATGGCCTATTGTAAAATGTTACACTTATGTTTACTTGACTGACCTGTATGATTGTTTATGCCTATCCTAGTAATACCAAAGCAAATGCATGCTTTGTAGCAATGACATTTTAACATTTTAGAATTTTTTAAATTTTAAGTTATATAATAACGTTTTTGTGCATGTCTATGTCCCTGTGTTTCATCAGTGATTGGCATTTACATCTGAATGGAGCATGGTAACTTTGTAACCAAAGTTAAAAACGGCATAACAATGGGAAAAATCCGTATTCATCCAAGCAGAATGCAATCAGAATATTTTAAATGCTTTTAGCAGGTCCCATGGGTTCTTAGTAAACAGAGATGTTAGATTGTAACTTGGACTTCAAGTTAAGTTTTATTTGATATAAAAATATTAAAAATATTTTTCATAATAAGAATGGAAAGTGAGTGTATGCTGTATGGGGCATTGTGGGCTGTTTTTATCAGTTGTGCAATCAAGATAATTTACTAGAAATATGATATACACAGTATCTGCAAGGGTAATCAACAAGGCCTGTGCATAAATTCAGGGGCCATTTTAATGCTCTTGAAGAAGTATAATCTAAATGTACTTTTGTTCAATGTAGTTGCTTTTACTTTTGTCATAGTAATGTTTTCTTTTTATAAAAACAGGTTCTTCGAGTAACTTGCAATACAGAACAGAACGAATTAAGATCCCTTTAACACCAAGATATCCAAGGTCCATGATTGGCTCTGACAGAGGTGAATTATTTAATGAGTAATTTTAAACATAATGTTTTCTCTATGTCCAGTCCAAAGCCTTTGCAATTGTTAAATCAAGTTGTGCCAAAATGTAAATATGACAGTTGTAAGGTTGCAAAATTTGCATTTTACCACAGAAAGGTAAAAAAGAAGACTTTCTAAGGTAAGTGAATTTTTCTATTAGTTGACTTTAGGATGTGGCACACTAAGAAAAAGTGCATAAAAAAGACGAAGAATAAGCGTTGCTGTATGTTTTACAGTTGTAGTTTTCTTCTGGAACCGTGTCTTAAAAGTTTTAGCAGTGAGATGACCCACATTAATTTTTTTATTTTTTTAGGTGTATTATTTTGCATATTATTGTACTACTGATGGTAAATTGTTTTTTGAAATGCAGTGAATATTTTAGTACTTCACTCAAAATTGCTTGGTGGAGGATATTTAAAGACACGATACAAATACCAGCTGGAGTGCTGGAGAGCTGTAGGCTTCAGAGGTTGATGACAGTAAACAGTAACTCTTTGCTGCCATCATTGCTCAAATGTTCTGTGGCCTTAATGGGTTGTATGCAGTGTTTTTTCTAACTGGGCAAGTACAGTACTTACAAACACTTTTCATTTGTGATTAGTAATTTGAGATTTATTTTCTGTGGCTTTTTCAGCGGAAGCAAACCGTTTCCGTCAGGGCACTCATTCAGTACATTGCTCAGGGAGGGTACAACCAGGGGCAAGATGTACATGAAGTCATGTCTAGCTTGTTTGACATTGCAAAGCTTTCCTGTCTCTGTGTATGATTCATTCTGGGCTTTGCTGGTGTTTTCAGGTGTTTCATACTGTATCTCCTACCCAAAGGAAAGGGCTCTACATAAATACTTTATTTGAAAATGAACCTATATATTCAATTTTTATTTTACTTTTCCTTTCCTGTTTTTTATCTTTTTCTTTAACTTTGTACTGCTGAGCATTTTCACACATGCACGTGGTGTAGCTTGTCTGTAGCCTCCTCTCCTTGTTGAGAATGGCAGTAATTGTATGCACACTTAGAGAGGACAGGCTTGACATCTAGTCATTAAGGAGAGTAACTTTGCACTGTCTAAAATTAGTTAGCTGGTGTCCCTAAGTTTCTTACTTGGTTAACAGAGTGCTAGTGAGCAGTAGGTCCTCTTCGTTGTCTCGGATGTGTACGGTGTCTTTCACTGTGTCTGTGTAGAACTCCAAACTATGACAGATGAAGGATACTAAAACTCAGCTGTTGATTTTCCATAGGCTCCTTGTCTCACTCTGAATGTAGCAGTCCCAGCTTGATAACTCCTCCACAGTCACCTCTTAACTTGGAAACGTCTTCCTTCGCCAGCAGCCAGTCTCAGAACTCCCTTTCTACACTACCTAGGATTTCCATTAGCCCAGTATCTATTGGAGAACGTAGAAAAGATAGGTAAGGTCCCCATGTTATTTGCTTCTAATACAAATGTGTCTGAGGAAATTGTGTACATTTGTTTATTGGGCTGAAGGAGTGTGAACATTTAATTTGGAAGACAAATATGTAGGCACAGAGGTGCATCTCAGGACCTGTTACTCAGTGTTTTTATTTTCTTTAATTAGTGTTTAAGAGATCTTTGTGTGGATTTTTTCTTCAAAACTGAAGGCTAGATTCTTGAGATTAGAAAACTAAGGTATTTCATAAGACTTTTATTTCTTCCATGTTGGATTAGTGGCCACACCAAATAAGAGCAGTCTAAATTGGAGTGCACCCCTTCAGCTGAACTACCTCAGATGCTTGTTCATGATAGGCTTGTTCTGTACTCTGGAAAACTAAATAAAATGAAGACCTAGTTACATCTGATAGATAAATATCAGGTGCCTTAACGTTGTAGAGTATGTGCTGTAACCACTGTGCCTTGATTCAATTTAGCCAGATAACATGAAAAATTGAGGGGATAACTGTGCAAGGACGTATCCATATGTACAGACGCAGTTTAACTACTGTGACGGATCCCTTTGGCTGTACAGACCGCTGCTAGCAATAGCATTAAGTGTATGTGCAGCTGCATGCAGAATCTGAACCTGAAATGATAGCTTTCTTAAAAACATGAGCTTTGTGTTTTAATGACATTATATATCCCAAGATGAATGTTTTCAAGATATGTTGCTTTTGCTATCAGTTTCGGACATCTGATTTCATTTTATCATAATCTGGCCAGATTGAATATATGAAAAGGTTTGCTTGAATTCAAAGCATTGAACAGTAAGACACAGTCTGAATCAGGCATTTATTTACAGTAAGGCAGCTGAATGCCCTTTTGGCAGTATAAAGGACCTGTGATGTCTTGGGATAGATTACATTTATGTGGACTTCAAGACCCCTTTGTATTACTTGACTTATGTAAAACGACTGACCATAAAAAATGTGAATGATAAAGTAATAAGGATATTCTGTATTCTAAGTTTTCTGGTAGTAATAAAGAGTTATTCATAAGATGTTATATGAAACTTCTGTCTCGTTTAAAGAATCAGTAACTAAGTTATTGTAGTAACTCTAGAATGTATATTGTGTACAAAGGACAGTGTTACTTTGAAAGGGAATGTAAAGAGGTTTTTGTGAATTTTCTTTCTTTCTTACTTCAGTGTGACTTTTGTACTATGTGTACTAAATTAATGTTCTCATATAAATGTTCCTCTAATTTTCACTTGCAAATTCAAAGTCAGCTTAAAAAACTAGGTTTTTGAGGTCCTATAACTTTGTATCTCTGAGTTCAAAATATGTGTTCTGATCTCTGGGAAATAACTATTCTGTAAACATTGATTGAAGTACAGTCAGGTTCCATCCCTTTCACTCTTCCTGTGCATATGTGCTTTGGTTTTTTAAGCGAAACAAAAACTAACGAACATAAACAATTCTTAATTTAGGAAAATAGCTAATTTAAGTTTATACTGAGAAAATGTTTAAAGATGCCTAAGTTGTATTTTAAATCGTTATTTCGTCTTATTCTTTCTGTTCCCCACAAAATACAAGCAACTCACTTGGCCTTTCAGCAGATAAAAATAATAATAGTAATGCAGATTAAAAATAATAATCAATGTGTCTGTTCTGTTGATTTTAATTTAAGTGAAAATTATACGACCTGGTCAATTAAGACTTTTTTCTAATCAGTGTTTAGTGATTCTGGCAGGCAGTCTGAATGTTATAGAAGAGTGCGCTTCACTTGATTTTAATAACACTGCTTATCAAGTAAGACACCTTTTTAATGTTATCATTCTGTTATACTTTATTATTGATTCTGTACTACATGCATTACTAGTTATCTTTCATTCTGTATTTAGTAGAATTCTAAGATACAATCCTGTACAGTTTGTATGGGTTTGATTCTTTCTTATTCCAGTCCAAAACAAACAAACAAACAAAAAAAACCACATTTAAAAATGCATGTGGTAGGTGGAAGAGTGGTTCAGTGAAGTCCAGAAAGATGTAATTTTATTTTTTAATGAGGTAGTATGCCTTGATAAATTTTGTGATATTAAGAGCTTCATATAATGTAATGGTTTACATGCTCATAGTCAGTAACAAACAAACAAACAAACCACCAAACAAAAAAACCTGGGAGTTAACACAGTTCAGTTGAGATGTGCTAAATGCAAAAAAGTTGGGCTTCAGTTTAAGTTTGCTGGTACTAAACATATCTTATTTTCATTACATTGATAGACAAACTGAGGCCATTACCTCGAAACAGTGATATTGCTGACATTACTGGGTTCTAGAGTTGCATTCTTTTCAGCAGCCTTTTTTTATCTTTTCTGCATTAATAAGCTGGCAAACTATTATGCCCCTGCTGCAGAAGTCTACCAATAGTTACCTTTGAAGACTGTGGCAATCAGCATAATTTATGAAATTGCGTCCACTGTCCCCAGCACCAATTCCTACTCTTCCAAAAATACTTTTCCTCAACCTGGCTCACATTAGTAGCAGGGAGTGAAGTCCACTTAACTCATCTGGTCTCTGGACAGCACAATTAAAATAGTTTAAGCAGTTGGCACAATGTAGAGAATGTCTATCTGATGTAATGAAATGTTAAGACAAAGAAAACGTTCAAATTAATGCATGTCAAATGTGGTATGATGCTATTAAAATAAAAAAATATACCACACCTGGTACCCAAGCAGCTTCATTTATAATGAGCTCAACTATTAATATCTGGTGATGCCTTTCACTGTGTAGACATTAGTAAGTTCCTAGTAATATGAACCAACATTTTTTAGGAGGCTACTGTTTGTTTATGCACACCATGAAGGGACCAGCCCTGTTTGTATAGGTGGATGCATCCTAACTAAAGGGGGAGGAAAGGGGAATGTACAGGGGTTTTCTTTTGTATAAGCCATTCTCTTATACTTACTAGTGTTTTACTACTGTGTGTCTTTCTAAGTGTTCTTTTTTTCTCAAATCTTCTACGTCTTTCAGATATCTGTTCCGTAATAGGTCTTTTCTGAGAATCCCTGTGGCTCCTAGGCCTAGGTTCTCATCACTAAGGAGTTTGAGGTTGGCCTAATATAAGGTTGTCTTCTCGAGCAGTATTGCGCACTTTGTGCTATTTTACATGTTTGGATAATTGCCCTGAGAAGAATTTGCATGGTAATTGTAATGCTACCATGCAAACTGCTGTCTTAATGGCTTGAGTTTGCAACTGCTTAATTTTCGTTACTAATTTGTTTTCCTGCACACATATGTGAAATCTGATATTTGTGCATTGTTGTCCTTTGGTTTACTACCTTATTATTTATGATGTTTCTTTTCACTGGCAATGAAGACTCCCAGCATTTATATTTGTAACATACCTTTCTGGAATATGGTTTGTAAATGACATCATATATTCAATTCAATTACTCCTATATAATATGCATCTGGAAGCTTCTTTCTTACCAACTTCATCACCATAATATTTATATTTCATGTTTATCATGATATTTTAGAGCAGTCATGTACCTGGTATACATTTACTTCTGCCACTGTACATTGCATGGTGTTAAAGGAATGCATTTAAGACAGTTGACAGTAATTTATTTAAGTAACTGTTTAAACCTATTTCATTATTAGACTTCAGGCAGACATGAAGTATTGCATGTAACTTTGACATTGTGATGGTTGAAGTGCAGTTTTGTCCAAATCAGTTTTAACTATCTCCTCTAAAAGGCCCTACATGGAAGAGCCACGTCATGTTAAAGTGCAGAAGGGTTCTGAGCCACTAGGGATTTCCATTGTGAGCGGAGAAAATGGTGGAATATTTGTCTCTAAAGTAACAGGTGGGAGCATTGCCCATCAAGCTGGCCTTGAGTATGGTGATCAGTTACTGGAGGTAATTGTTTGCTTACTATTCCTATGGCTTAAAGAATAAGTTCTTGTTACTCCAGCCATAACTGCCTTCCCCAAAAGAGTATCTTGTGAAACCTTGTGTACTGTGGGATGTAGCAAAGGGGTACTATGTATTGTAATATTCAAGTCATTGTGATTGTTGTCACTTTCTGTCAGCCTTTATCATAAAATAATATCTTTTGATGACAGATTTGTATTGCATGTATATAGACATAATTAAATATTCGGTACTTAAAACAATATAGTTCCAACATCATACTCTGCCTGATACAGTGAGTAAGTATGGAAGCAGCTGGCTCATACCAAGTTTCATGCTGCTGTTGCTGTGCCCATAATCTTACCTGAGATATCTGGTTTAAAAAATACTCAGGTAGGCTTTAGTTTAGCTACAGTCATGTTTTTGCCTACAGTAATAGATGAACATGTAGAGGAGCATTTTGTCAAGTACAGAGCTGCTTTGTAAATGTTAAATCCATTCATGCTTGTGTATGTTGAAGCATGTTCTGTTGCACAGCATGTGGATGATACTACAATGGGCCTGAACGGATCATGGATCTGAATGTATCTTTAAATTCTGAATTTATTCAGATCGGTGATGTGAACTAACTTGTGCTTACTCAGTGGTACCAAATCATAACACAACTTAGAACAGATGTGTCTTTCAACAGTAAAAAGATTTCTAAACTCATTGTTAGATTACCAAATATTTAAAAATTACAGTGATTCCTTTGAAGGATTAAACCCTAGGAATCATTGTATAGCAGCTTTTCCATCCTCCTGTTTACCCCAGTAGAAATAAGTTAGTATTTAGACATTAAACTAATTAAGAATATGAAAGAATGATTTTGCTGGTTTCCATCTGAGAACTTTACATCCTGGTTTGTGCGTTTTCTCCATAGTTTAATGGAATAAATTTGAGAAATGCTACAGAGCAACAGGCTCGACTAATCATTGGCCAGCAGTGTGACACCATTACTATCCTGGCTCAATATAACCCACATATGTATCAGCTTGGCAATCATTCACGATCAAGGTAAGGCTAGCTAGACTTAAAAAGCTACTAGTAGATAACTTCTGTACAGGTAATGTGTTTGCAAACATCCGCATATTTGTGCTGATAAGAAGCGTGATTGCTTAGAAAAGTAACGTGTTGATATGTGCCTGTTGAAAAGGAAAAGGATGGATGAACCTACTGTATTTTCTTTCTTATTTGGTCATAATCCTTAGATACGTTAAATTAAAACCAAAGTTGACTTCTTTCTAGGATTGAGAGTCTAGTACTTTGAATTGGTTTTGGTGGTGGATTTTTTTTTTTTAATAGTTGGAGTTTCCAGAAACTAAACCCAAAAAGGCATATGAGAAGTGAAATTATCCATCCCATTTTGATGCATAACCACACTTGAAAACTAAGCTTTATCTTTCTCTTAAACTTATGGTGAACAGATGTTATTTGGCATGCTGTTCTGTGGGGTTTTTTTCCCTTACTTATAGTTGATCTACCCAATAAAAAACTTTGTCAATAAAAAACAATGCATTTGGCATTGTTGAAACATTAACCCACCAGACTTTTATTCTTTTTTCTTTTTCCTCTTAGCTCTCGCCTAGAACCTGTGAGTAATCATTCCACCCCTGAAGGTAGCGGAGCTGCAACGCCTGACAATCATTCCGTAATCGATACCGTGAGTGAGCAGGATGAAGGGACAATGACACCCCCATCCAAACAAACCACACCAACCACAAGTCCCCGGAATTCCTTAAGGTATTGAGTAAAATTTTTGCATTAATGAAAAAAAAGAAATGGTCAGGGTGGATGTGAAGTGTATTAAAACAAAAAAGCGTAATGTGTGAATGCTGTGTATGGTCGAAATAAGTGAGCAGACAAGTTAAGTGTACCCCAGGATAAAAGTACGTGTTTTCAGACTTATTGAAAGATGGGATCTGCAATGAGTGAATAAAGCTTACTACAAGATTGGATTAGTTAAGAAGGTCTGCAAGAAACACAATGTTTGTCTTCTAAGACTATATATAGGTTACCTATTTTGACTAATTATTGTGTAAATTTATATTCTTTGGATGGCTAGTTGATTGTATGTAATGCAAGTTTTTGAACTGAAGTACATGTGTTATTTCTCCTTGTCAAAAGGGGCCCTGTGGACACAAACAAAAGGACTGCAAAAAATCCCAAGTGGATCTTGGGATCCAGATATGTGGTGGAAACCTGTATGGAATATTTGTCTCAGATGTAGATGACGATAGCCCAGCAAAAGGACCAGATGGACTAGTCCTGGGTGATATGATACTTGAGGTAAGCTATTAAGAAAAATCTGCATCATACTGACAAAATGTTTAGGATGGTGTAAAGAAGGAGATGCACAAACAATCATGCTGTGTCGCAGTGGGAGAGGTTCTGTTAATCTGAGTTCCTTCCACCAAGGTAAGAATGGTAAGAATAGTGAGAATGCATAACCTTCATTCTGGCTGTGACACATGAAGAGCTGGATGATGTGGGACCTGGAGAGCTACCACTGTTGAGAGCACAAGTTGCCCAGAATATGAAGGACTAATGTATGTCCACTTGGATTTATGAGTGCCTGCTCTCTTAGTCTACATAGGAAGCCTTGAATGCAATTGCTGTAACTAACATAAAGGCAAGGATATGGAAGATATTGCAAAACAGAGAACAGTATTGATCTTATCACTGTGAAATTCTAGTGAGAGTTTAGGGAAAGCCATGCAGTATGTCTTTGACTCTGCTTTCTATATCTGAAACAAGAATGTTTATCTACTTGGCAGGACTGTTATGATGATCAACACATGCATTTATGAGTTTTTCAGGTACAACTGAGCATTGAGACTGTGACTCTCCCATTGCGCCTTTAGTGTCCAGATGGAGATTTTGCTTTGTAATTGTGTTTCTGACTTCACTCAGACCAGTTGCTTTACTTGGAAAATATTAAATCCTTTCCAGTGTGAATTTTATGATTATCAGCTGACACTTTGGAAACTATTTAAAGAAGCACAGACTCTCTCTCACTGTGCATGTTTGTGTTGTTAACTTGGCTATTTTGTTTTCCACCCCCACATCTCAGTCTCCTGCTAGACATGTTAAGGTACAAACTGTACTAGGGTTAAGTGGCAAGATTTACTTTTTCTATAGAGCCTGCCGGGGGGCGGG